CCCTCACGCAGCTCCGGACCATGGAGGGTTTAACATCCCGCTGCCAAATCCAAAGCAGTGCAGGAAGAGCAGGTTCCCAAACTAAGCTGAGGAATAGGGTTTCCATGTGAGGGGTTGAGCTCCTTGTGGAATCCTTAGCGACTGAGGACAAATTAAGGCACTTTCGTGTTGTGTTTGGGCAGGTTGGGCTGCACAAGCAGTGTGGTGGGCAATGATTTCCATCTTCTAGAGATCAAGACAAATGGGTTTAAGTTAGTTTTCCGCTCCCTACAATAGTTCTTCCCAATTCCAGGCAGGTGGCTGTTCTAGAGCACAGGGCCCTTCAGTGGAGGTGGAGAGAGCTCCCAGAGCTGATGATCATCGCGCTCCAGAGCAGCCCTGACCGGCAGAACCTTTAGGTATGAGGAGAGAGAGAGTTGAGTCTGATGGATTTTCTTTCTTCTTTGTATGTGTGTTACATAGAACAGTTACAGAACTTCAAAATCCTTCAGCGTTCCATGTGCTTCAACACTTAAATGGCCAATACAGTCACTTGAGTGCTTCAGAAATTCTGCCAGATTTTCTAGGTTAAGTGCCTTTTTGAACTCAGTTTCTAGCATACATGTGCATGGCAATCATATTCAATATCACTTTTTATACTTTTCAAAACTGATTTTTTACAGGCTGTGAAGATGAAAGACTGGGGAGCTTTATTCCAAAATAATCAGTACACAGCGTGCTGTGCTGAAGCAGCCCCCGAGGGAACTTTGGCCAAAGATTGTAGGATCAGGAGATTTGTGGTGCTAAAGTGAAACAGTAACTTTCATTCAGAAGAGTGATTTCAGCATTAAAGTGGCAGTGGAAAGCACGTGTGCATTAATAACTTTCTGTGCAGGGAGAGGTCCACCTTGTTCCAATTAGACTGACATTTTGTGTACTCCTTTGCCAGCCTGTGGCTGAAATGTCACCCTGGTTCTGAACAGACATTGCTTTGCCTTTGTAACAGACTTTTATCTTGTCATGCTTGAGCATTGAAAGGAGAAACAAATATGAAAAATCTCAGTTACTGCTTTCATGTCTTGGATCGAGAGATTTCAAAGTGATGAATGAATTTAGCCAAATCTCCTGTGTGACCTTAAAATATTAGTGTGGGCCTTGAAAAGAGACAGAAAATAATAGCTGGAAATCAAGGACTGGTCCAAGGACATAACATAAGAACGGTTTTATCTGAAATTGATTGCATCAAATAGAGACACAGCACAAATACAGCATGGAGAAAGGCTGCTGGGTGGATGGTGGGATGGAAGGGGCAGCTGTGAAATGAGTGGCTGTGCAGTGCAGCTGGAAATGTAGTGAGGAGGGAATAATCTGCAAGAGATGGCACCTCAGGTAGTGAAGTTATTGCAGAGGTACAAGAAAGATGTTTTCAGCTGTGGTCTGAGTGAAATCTTGAATTTTTCTGTTGAGTTCTCCCTTGGGCTAATGATTTGCCAAGGGCAAAAACACAGAGGAAAGGGGATTGATGGATTAATTTAGAATACAGGGGATTGGAAGAGCTTTGGCGCTGCACTACAAGGATATACATTTAACAAGGAAAAGAACATCTGAGGCTTGGAAAAAAGTTAACATCTGTCTTTAGGCTTCATGGAATGAAAAGGAAGAAAATTGAATTCATAGTCAATAAAAGATGGGGATTGAATTGTACCAAAGGCAACATGGCATTAAGAGTTACCTTGGTGTGGGGG